CAAGTTCCACCAAGCTCCCAAACCAGATAGCCCAGAAAGGCAGGTCGTAACCATACACCTTTGGTTTACATGTTTGCTGTCATGTAACCTTTTCCTCCGGAACCTGGAAATTCCAGCGGCCTGGTTGGTTCCATTCAGCCCTCCTCAAAGGCCGGCTCTTTGCCCGGTTTCACAAGTTCTAGCTCCATTTCATAGGTCTAGTCTTTACAGTAGCACTGTCGAAAGTTCAGGTTACCTCACTACTTGGGTCTTTCAAGTGGGCTTCTGTCCTCCTACCTGGTTCTTATGATTTACATGGCCTAAAGACTTATCTTGGGTTCACACCACCTGGTACCAGTTTGTGTTCTTTCATACAACATTGCACGAATGCCTAGACCTTCCAGTCAGGCTGGTATGAGCATTTAATTTTTGTATGAATATAGTATAATGATATTAAATATAAAAAAATTACATTTAATATTTGCAAATAATATAATCTTAAATTCTGTTAATATATAGATAGAATTTTGTTTGTAATTTTTTTTAATAAATAAAAATAAAATTACAAGCTAAGTAGTAAAATAATTGTCTAAAAATAAGTAATACCAGCTGCAACCTAGCTTAAATTAAGTTTAATATTACTAAAGATTAATTAGTTATTCACTATTTTGTATATTAGTAATTATACATTATAATATTTAAATACTATAAATATTAAATAATAATAATTATAAATATTAAATATCAATATTTTTAAATTAAATAGTTTTAAATATTTAAATAAAAATGCTAAATTTAAGAATTAATTATTTATATTATAATTTGAGTGCTAACAAAAAATCTGCTATCAGTATTTTAATTATATTTTGTTTAAATACAACTTATTTATGATACAAAAAATAATTAAAAGCCTAATTATTTGTTTTTTTTTAATAGATATCAATATTAGATTAAAATATATTTATAATAAATATTTGAATTAAAAAAACAAAATTATTTAAAATCTATAGTATCTGTTTTTAATTTATATTTTAAATTGTAATTTTAAAATTTTTATTTTTTTATTTAGATATATATTTGCAAAATATTAAATATAACTATATATATATAATTACAATAAATAAATATATATAATAAACAAAATAATTTTATTTTAGAATATAATAATTAGTTTTATCTAGCAAACTCTTATAATTATATATATATATTTTTTTTATATGATATGATGTTATAATACTTATTCGAATTAAAATACAACTGACAACTCTTTTTATAGTAATTTAAGCTATAAAATATTAATAAACTGACTAAGTCAGCCAACTAAAATATTAGCTAATTGGCTGGTTAATATTTATAGTTCTGGCAAATTTTAGTAAACTTTTACTTAATTTTATATTTATTTTTTTTAAAAAATTTACTAAAATCTAATAATATATTATTAGTTAGTTGATTATATTATATTAGCTAATTAAGCTAATTAAGCTAGCTAAGCTAACTAAGCTAGCTAAGCTAACTAAGCTGGCTAAGCTAATTAAGCTGACTAAGCTAACTAAGCTAATTAAGCTAACTAAGTTAGTTAAGCTAACTAAGCTAACTAAGCTGGCTAAGCTGGCTAAGCTAACTAAGCTAACTAAGCTAACTAAGCTAACTAAGTTGGCTAAGTTGACTAAGCTAGCTAAACTAATTAAACTAATTAAACTAACTAAGCTAACTAAGTTAGCTAAGCTAACTAAGTTGACTAAGCTGACTAAACTGATTAAGCTAACTAAGCTAACTAAGCTAGCTAAGCTGACTAAGCTAGTTAAGCTAACTAAGCTAATTAAACTGGCTAAGTTAGCTTAGCTTTAACTGCTATAACTGGCTTAAATCATTATTTTTATATATATAAATTGCTATTATTCACAACTATTAATTTAATAATATATATATATTAAATAATTATATATAATATATTTTAATTAATTTGTTAATATTGTATATAAGTATTTATAAATATCATTAAAGTTATTAAAATTTTTTTTAAATTTTATTACAAAATTTTTTTATTATTATATCTAAACAAAAAACTAATTAAGAACCTTGTTCTATTTATAATTGTAACAAAGAAGCTACAAGATTTAAAATTTTAACTGATAATGCTTTTGCAAAAGCATTAGCTACAGGAACTCTTTAACAATATTTATATTTGTAAATAAATCAACAAATTTGTAATGCTTATTATATGAAAATTGTTAAAAATGCTTGAAATAATTATAAAAAAAATTATCAAATAATATTAGTTTAAATAATATTATTGAAAATAATAATTCTATTAGTAAATATTTAAATTTTATTTAATTATATAAAATTTTATTTATAATTTATTATTTAATTATTTTAGGTTTATTATCACAATTATCTCTTAGTAATAAAATAAAAAAAATAACAACTATAATATATAATAAGCAAAGAAAAGAATTAGCTACTCTCATACTTGAATCTAATAATTTTAAAAAAATGTTAGAAGAATCTGATTCTAATTTAATTAGATTTTTTGATAAAATATACAAAATTATAATTCTATTAAATTGGTTATTAAATTTACAAAATAATGCTAAAAAAAAATTGTAATAATTCTTTATTTAATTGTTGGTATTTGTAATATGCAAGCTAATCAATTTAAATTAAAACTTGGATTATATCTTGTAGCATGTGGAGCATCTTGTGAAACAATTAATACTTTAAATAATACTGGAATTAGTGTTACTAATAAAACAGTTTATAATAATAAAAAAAAGATTGCTACATAACATCTATTATAAGTTGAAGAATATTTAATTAAAAATGTAAATAAATTTTTAAAATTATAATTTTTTTAAATAATATATTTTAATATTTATTTTTAATTAATTATTAAAAAGATTTATTTTGTATATATAATATAGAAAAAAGAAGACCAGATAATACTAATTTATTAGGATCAGTTCATTTAGCAACAAGTATATGCAAAAAAGTTGAGCAGTATGCACTAACACTAATCATTTTTAATAATATATCAGTTCATAATTCAGTAAATATTGATGCATCAATTATTTGTAAGCAACTTATTAATAAATATTAGGAGCTTTTTGATCTTTTTTATACATAATGCAAAATTTAATAAGCTAGTACAAAACAATCAGAAAGTTTTGAATTTAATAATATTGATCAACTTACTATATATTGTTATAATGATGCTATTGCTGAAAGAAAAAAAAAAATGAAAGAAACAATATTAATTAGAATTAAAGAACAGCATCTTTATTCTATACAAGATTATTTAAAAATTTTAAATATAATACTTAAATATAATGAAAAAACAAATCATTTAAATAATTATATTGCTTCAGTAATTGCAGATTGGTCAGGACAATTATTTATTAGAAAAGCTATTATTCATTTGTACAAGAATAATTTAGAATCAAAAATTCCATCTGGAATAATTTCTTTTGTTCCTATTCTTGAATCATTACATGTTAGTCTTAATAGCAGAAAGCAAGTTATAAAAATTTATTATAGTTTTTTTAAAAAATTATTTTATAATATATTCAAATTATGTAAAAAATTTGTTAAAAAACCAGAATAAATTTACTTTTAGAATTAACATATAGTGCATAAATTAAAATTAGAAATTTAATAATAAAAAAATTTAGAACTTTATATAAATTTACTAAGTATCATATATTAATTAATCTTTTAGATAATATTATTTTAACAGTACTTGATATATATGCTATATTATTTCAATCAGAATTTTTTGATGAATATCTTGAAACAATTTTTTGTATTTGGACTTTTGCTTTAAGATAGAAACATAAAAATTATAACAAAGCTTTATTAGCATTTTTATCAGATATATTTTATTAGGAACAAAATAATCATCTTATAAGAGAAGCAATTAAGCTCTTTTTAGTTAATTTTAATAATTATTGGATTGAAAATATTCATAATAGAATTAGAGCATCAACAACATGCAAAGATAATGCAGATAATATTCAAAAACAAGCATATTTATTAGGTATTTTAAATATTATTATTATTATTAATTATAAAATATTAGTATTAATAATTATATTTATTATTAAATGCTAATAAATATTCTGTTTTTAAAAAAGAATTTATGAATACTAAACATTATCCATATTTATTATCTGAATTGGAATTTTTAACTAATAAAACATGCTTATTTTTACTTCAACAATTTTAATTAGTTTTTGAAGAATATCAAAAATATCAAAAAATAATACTATATTTTCTACAATAAAACCAAAACCAAAATCAAAGAAAGATAAAAAAGAAAAAGATTTAAATATTAAATTTATTACTATGAAAGATATAAATAAAAGAGTATTACCAACTGGATATCATACTTTATTTTTATCTATTTTTAATAGTTGTAATTATTATTATAAACTATTTGATCAAGATTTTGATAGAACTATTTTAATATGTAGTTATGAATATCATTGGAATTATTATAATTAATTAGAATTCAAATGCAAACATTATATAAAATATTTTAATAAAGGAATATAAAATAATATAAATGCATTTATAAAATGATTAGAAGCAGAAGATAAAGATAAACTTACTAAAGATAATTTAGAAGATGATGATAATAGTGAAAATGAAGAAGATGATACAAGTAATTTAATAGAAAATTCTGAAATATTGAAATTAATGAAAAAGAAAAAATTGAATTGGATTTACAAAATACAATTAGTAATATAAAAACTTGGTAATTTATTTTTTAATAATGAATTACTGTATTATAAATATATTATTGTATATATTATTCTTTAAACAGTATTTCAGATAAGTTTATTTAAAAAATTAAATTATATTTAGTATTTTTTAAACTAAAATAATAATTTATTAATGATATAAAGTATATTTTACTTATTAAATATATTTTTAAAAATTTATTTATTAACTTTATTATAAATTTTTTTTTAAAACTATTAATAAAGTTTATATATTAAAATTTTAAAAAGTTTTTTTAAAAAATTTTTAATATTAAAAATAGTTTTAAACTTAAAAAAAAATTTACATTTTGTATAAATCTAAATTTTTATAAATAAATTGCAAAAGTATTATTAATAAAAATTATTATCTTTTATATAAACTAAAATTTTTTTTTTTTTTTTAAATATTAAGGTAAGTACTTACGACCTAGGATTTTATTGATAGTACATTCAGCTAATAGTTGCTTTACAACCACAGAGGGCAATCATGAAAAGAGTATACAACTAGCCACTCATACAACTTTAGTCATTGTCTAATTTAAGTAGTCCACCCGAA